CATTTTTTACTGCAGCTATCCATGACTTAATCTGATGGCAGGCATGAGAAGCTGGCCTTGAGGATGATAAGCAAATTGCCTTTTTTTCCTTAGAGGATTAAACTTGCTTTGATGGCATAACCTTGCTTCCTGTCTTGTGCTCTCATTGACTATCCTCCTCTGCCACAGCCTACTTTGCAACACACTATACTTCCCCCTTCTTCTCCCATCAGAACCAGCAGTCTTCATCCACTGGAGCCTGAATCCCACTACAAAAGCCCTGTGTCTTTTCCTCCTCCAGTGAATGTCAGTCCAAACCTACAAAGCTCCTTCAAACTTTTTAACGTCTTCATTTGTAATAAATAAGGAAAAAGGCCTTATCACTATAACCTATACATTACAGAAGCTACTTTTAAGAGCAGAAAAATTAATATGTGTAGAATTTTCACTAATTGTTGGAATTTTATTCTAATGTTTGTCTGTGTGTGAAATCAGTGTTTGAAACATGAACGGGAGCAGGTGAGGTCTTCCTGAGTCTGTAGTAAGATTGAAAAAGTGTGGATACAGTGATCACTTGATGTGAAATACTATGAACTGAATCTTCTAGAAGAACAGTCCACAGGAATGATGCCCAAGATGACCAGGTTCTAAATGGGTTATTTGAATTACTATAGCACTTTGGAGTCATTGTCTGGGAAGACCTAGCTGTGTGCTAGGTCATCAGCCCCAAAGATCTTAAATCTAGGTAAATAATTTAAATGAGCTGGAGTTTATTCTCCCAGTCTTGAGAAAAAGAACAGACAATCAGATGGAGGGCAGAAATGAGATCTCCAGGAAAGCAAAAAGGATTAGCTGAGACCTCTGGTAATAATAGTAGTAAAACAGTAAATATGCTGTGGAGGAAGTATCTAACCTTATTTTTTTAAAGAAAGTGGTTGAATTAAAAATAATTTTAATCTGAACTATTTATCCATTCAATATCCACAGTCAGAATGTAAGTATACAAAAGTCTAACAGGTCAGTAAAGAGACCAGGATTGTTCTCTGCTGGGAAGACTACAGAGGTTGTGCTGAAGTCATCGGGGAGGATTGGTGAGAAGTGCATGTTTGGGGCGCTGGACTGACTACCAGTTCCCTCCACTTTCTTTTGCCCACCTCTCCCTAAGATTCCCAGTGCATGGAGAGACACCCACCCACCCACTCACACATGGAGCATACTTGTTCCACCCTCTCCTTTATCTGACTTTTGAAATTGTTGATGGAAAACAAGCAGTCATTTTCATGATCATTCAAGATAAGTAAGGACGCAGAGCATGGAGTAATCTTCGTTTCTGGCCTGCCATAAAAGAAGGCAGAACTACATTCTGGCAAAATGCTGGGGAGTTCATTCAGCTCTTCCACTCAATCATTTGTAGATGCAACTATATACCTTATTGCTTTTTAACCTCTGAAGAAAAAGTACTTAGTAACTCCTTACTTGGGCCAGTTTGGTACCAATAATACCTCTGTGTAAGGTACTGTTGGTTTCATTAACTCTTGTTATGTTCTCATCATGACAGTTCAAGGTGTTCCTTCAAATAGTAAATAGGATAGAGCAGTAAATGTTCAAGCAAGATAATACCTTACTCCTGTTCAGATCATATCTATATGATAGGGACAATGTAAAATGGGTTTTTTCCCTGTGATTTCATGGTAGAGAAAAAAAACAGTAACAGTTTCAAACTTAGCCTAATTCTATGTCAATATGACCGAATCTTTCAAATCAATTTTGTTTCCATATTGAAGCTAATTTACAGTGAAAAATCCCAGAGGCTAAATCTTTACATTCTGTTATACTAATTTCCAAACACTGATGAATCATGATAGTTGCTTCCAATACTGTATACCTAAATGGAGTTTTACCTCTTAATTTGTATGTATTGGTCTAATATTGTGGCAATTCAATCAAAGACAAGTCTGCCACTATTGATGTTAATAAGGCATGAAAAGTATAAAAACAGACCAAAAGAAAAAAGCCATGGTCTATGTCATGCATGATTCTGGTTGATTCCTAGGTATGCATCTAGTTGGGCGTCCACAATCACCTGTAAGAACCTGCACTATTTTTTAAATTCACATTTACATTAAGAATCCATCTAATCAGGCAGGAAATCCACAGTTATTGATGGGCAGCTGAAGGATCATTCTCCAATCTGACTATTTTCAGAAGTAATGAAATAGCTTTAAAGTGACTAAATCTTTTTCTAGTTTCCTGAGTAACCTGGACAATGTCAGAAGTTTTGTTCAACACTGCTGAGTAGCTTATAACCCAAACTCTTTTTTTTTTATCATATACAGTATATGAAGTGATTTAATGAAATGGAATAATTTCAGAACACCCTAAATGGATTATAGAATGCCCTAGAATGTTTGAATGACTAGTGGCATCACTTGGTAATACATTACATTAACGTTGAAGCATGACCTGTTTGAATTGTTTCCTTGACTTGTTTGCTACTGTCAGGTTAGTGCACTGGGTTGTACAAGTATGTATGTATATTTGCAAAAATGTATTTTAAGATTTGATAAAGGTGTTTTGATAAGAGCACAAGAGATTCTTTTTCTTGGCAATATTATTTCCTGTGTCTACCACTCATACCTGAGAAATCTATGTGCTGACTTTCACCTAATCCTTTAATCCCCACACATTCATTCAAGCTAAACTCTTATGCTGTGCTTGCTGTTGTTTTCAATATAAAAGATTATGATGATTGCCTGACAAGCATAAAATCCAGATCATTTAAGTTTCTTTCAAGAGAAGGTAAGACATTTGTTATATAGAGGAGTGGACAAGTACTTTTCTAAAATTAATCTTCCTATTTGCAGAATTACAACAGGGATGTTACGTGATTGGGTAAAGAAGGTCAATTAGTGCACTACAGTGTCTTATTTAAGACAGGATCCACCCTGGGAAAGAATTTCAGAACCTTTGTTCCTGATGCAAGTTCTTGCATTAAAAATTTTAAAGCAGCTTTCCCTCCTTGGACTGAGGGACTAGGGCAAAGGTAGTGTACCTTGAAATAGGTATTTCTGCACAGCCTGATCTAAACACCTCTTTATTTCGCAGTATGAAAATAAAAACTGAGCTGAGGATACAGAGCACTAACCAGAAAGATACAGAAGGATTTAGAAATCACCAAGCATCCAAGAATCCAAGTACAACGCATACAAATTGCATACAAATAACTTACTTGGTTAAGTGAGGTGCATTACGACTGTCCACAACCAACTAGCATCCTACAATAGGATTTGGGGCCTTTACATCCACTTTTAAACATCTTATACCTGAAGTCAGTTTATTTGCTTACACCAGCCCCAATTTCAGCCATAGAAAGCTGATTTTGATACTCAAAGAAATTACAGCATCTGAAGAAAAGGTTTGTACTTTCTCCAGCATATAGACAGTAAAACAAGGAACTGTTTTTCCATTTGAGAAAGTTAAGTACTACAGCTGAAGTAATTTTTATATTTCAAATACACACAAACTGTATGCTTACTGGTGTCATAAACAAAAAGTGAGATCTTGCTTCATAAGAGAAAAGGGCTCAACAGTAGCTGTATGTGTGCAGCAGAATTAGGTAAGTCATGACCTCCCAGGAATAAAATCATTATCCCTTGAAGAAAGTAGGCAGCTGCAAAGCTGAATTCTGTTCACTATAGCAAGTATATATTCAACTTCCCTGAACTGCCTAGAGTTACATTAATGAATCCATCTGAAGAACCCAAATAGGTCTTCCTGTCTAGACTTGAGGAGAAAATAAATATTACCTAATGGATGCTATTCAGTACATGGAAAACAATCACATTTATACACACTTGCTGCAAGATGAAGTAAGCCAGTGATACCTCCTCTGCTCAATATTTTGAGTTGACATCTGTACTTTGTTTAGTCTGAACTTCATTATGTTGACTGTCTGCTCCTTGCATTCAGCTGCTTTGATTGAAGCACTGATGGCAGTTGAGGTCTGTCTTTCAGAACAGACCTCATTCAGTTATATGGAGATTAATTCAAATAAGTGATTGAAATACTGCTTGCTGCTGCATCAGAACAGTTGCTTGAAGACTTCTGTGTGTTTATATAGGTCTAAGAGCTATGTAATATCTAGAGAAATAAGTCCAGCCTGCTAGTAGACATTCACCCCCCCTGCACTGAGTCATGAGTACTCAATAATCTCTATTTGCATAGTTTAACTGACAAATGGCACAGCCTTCAGGTTAAGAAAGCAGTTGCTCTAATAAAAATGCATGTATTTAGCAGTGGGAATCACTAAGCAGTAGGCCATCTCTCTGCTGTCCTCAGCTGTTTTGAGCTACTTTACAGAGAACTTATACCACAAATGATATTTAGTCTTAGCGACACTTGTGGTTGTCTGATGTTATCAACTTGGTAGAATAAGCCCAAAACTGGTACTAAGTCAGTGTTTAATCTCACCATTTTGATTTTGCTTTACAAGGGTTCTGCTTTAACCAAGGGTTGAAAGACACACAGAGTGAAGCACCACAGAGGGACAGTGATAGGTATGGACAAATCATTCTACCATTGAGGTGTCAGGATACTTCACTCCCTTGGTGAATAAGAGCAATGATTCCACAGCAAGTAAGAGAAGGAAGCTTATAGAGGTCATTATCACAGCTACTGTCCATCAATGATCATCCAGAAGTAAGGAGTTCTTTTAAGTCAGTGTAAAACATAAATATCAATTCTGGGATGCAATACCTTGAAAAGATTCATACATCCTTACTCTGAAAGCTCCATGAGCAGTTCCTTTAGGGTTGCTGCTATAATTAGCAACAGCATATTGTGCTTGTGACTATGAGTGTGCATAGACACAAAAACTGTTCATTGTTAGAGCCTGTCATTCATATCCTGACCTGTAGCAGAATTTTTTTTAAAATAGCCTACGGAAAGTAGACCTACAAGACTTTTGGTGATGCAAAGCAAAGCATGTTAAGTTGTATTATAAGAAGACTGGAGAAAAATGCTTCAGATTTCCATTCTCTTTATTGCCAACAGATTTATATTTAAAATGCCAAAGTCCAAAAAAAAAAGGTTGTGTAATAAATACTTCACTTTAGGCTGTAATAAATAAAAAATTATTAACAAGGAATGCACTTTGCCAGCCACAAGTGTGGGTATTTTTGAAAAATAAGGGAAAAAAAAAGTGTATGGCCATAGTTCACAGTTAAGCAGCCAGAAGCTGCTTACTACAGCTATCCCCCAACAATGGAGCTCTGCCTTCCCTCCCTTTCCAGATGCATATTCACAGTTTAACTCCATCAGAAATGCTCTTACTGAGCAAGCAGTCACACTCTGCTCAGAGTTCAAGTAAAAAATATCTTTAACACACTCATGAATCAAGGAAAACTATGGTCCGAAGAACTCCTTGTCACACCATTTTAGTCCAACAGTATGTTTAGGCTTCTAAATTATGTGTGCCCAGCACACTACGACAGTCAAGTTTTCGTACCACCACACATCCATCATCAACATACTAGTTGCTCCACTATCCCCACTGTAGATTTCACAGTGAACAAGAAGGTCCATTTGGTTTGACAGAGCCAGTCCCTTCAGTTACATCGTTGCAGCAGCATGTTCAGAGCATATTCCATTCTGTGTTTTAGTTCCAATGAGCATCCAGAAACCAGAAGAGTTGTCAGACGAAACGTTGTGGATATCCTGTCTTCATTGATGTAGGTAAGGAGATACTCCTCACTTTGATTGCAAATGATGATTTTCGTGTGATCATGATAGAAGTTCACCTGTAAAAAAGAAGCAAGTTCCTGTTTGTATACTTTCTTCTCTCAGTTTCTGGCACTTATCTAGTTTTATTGCAATAAAGTATTTTAGAAACATTTTCTCCGGTGATGCTACCAAACTTACTTGAAACGTGCCATCATTGAAGAGCATCATTAATGCTTTATCAGATTTAAGCCATTGTAAGAGGTAAAGCCTGGGCCTGCGTACATCTGTTAGGCTGGGCAAGTCGCCTCCCTAGGAAAGGGAACAGACACGATCTTAAGCATTCTGTTCACATTTAGTGTATTTTTACAGCTCAAGATCTAGAAGATGCTGAACTTACATCCATAAGGTTCTCTTCCATGTAGTGAGAGAAGTACTTCAGTACAGTCACTTGGCTAATGAACTGTTCAGGAGCCTCTGTGGCTGCAAAGACAGAGCACTGGCCTAGTTCAGCATAGTAGTGGACTGTTCTGTAAATGCAGAAAGGAGGTTAGAGATGAGATAAAAACATTTAATGTTTGAACCACCTTAGTGAGTTGTCAGTTTTGTAATTGTTCTTACTTTTTGTCTGGCAGAAGGCTCATATGCGCCCCATTGTTGAAAAGGACACCAACAGTGTGATCTGACAGCTGGTACCCAAAGCCATACTTGTTAGAGTAGTCCACCCATTTTGTAACCCACTGGAAGGATGTTGTCAGCTGTTCTTTGGGAATGCTGTCTGCTTGTGGCATGTTCTCCAGGCATCCCCGCAATACCCTTGCAACTGTATCGGCAACACTTCCCATGGTACTGTCTTCCAGGCCTGAAAGAGAAGGATTATTAGACTGACAAAAGCACATAGAAAGTGCGCTTTGATTCTAAACCTTTCAGCTATCTAGACTGTAATTTTAAGAAGTTTAGCCTTTACGGCTTTCCATTTTTAATTCTTCCCAAGTTTTGGCCATAAAATTTAAAGCATCAAAAAATAAGGGGTGTGGAGGACTTAGAAGCTTGAAAAGTCTGAGACCTGACGACAGTAAAGGTGGGATTTAGAATCAGACATTACATTTTGCTGGCTGCACTTACATTCACTGCTGCTGCTGCAGCTTCCCAAAGTTCCTCTGACTATCATCCGAATAGAGTCTCCAATCTGCTTAGTTTCTGGCAATGCTCCCGGCTTCACTGCTGTTGTGATAAGAGGCTGGATCTCCTAGAAGAGATGTCAGACATGTAAATATCAAACAAAATACAAGCCAAGGCTTATACACAAGTTTTGCATGGCTCCCCCGTTTGTCAACAAATGATAAATTCTAGGGAAACTGATATTAATGTTTCCATCAAGTACAAAGGGCTGCTGTTATACGGAGCTTAAAGAAGCACGCCAGGTCTTTCCATTCTTTAGATCTTCAATTTGCATCTTACACACTATTAATCAGTCCTCTGCTCTCCTGCCCTTGCAAGAGAACTGCTGTGTGCAAGTCTGAACACCAAATGGTGAGAGTTAGATCTCAGCAATTTGTCCTTTAAGAAAATGTAGTTAATCATGAACTGAAGCCCTGTATTTGGAACACTGAGAAAGAGCCCCTAGCAGACAAGTTGCCACACAGACAACAATGGCGTCTAGGCAGATACTATAATTACTCAAAAGCCAAAATTGATAGTCTCCCTACAAAGGCTACCATACCTTGGTTAAGCTTGGTTAAGCCTTTTTAAAGCAACTCTGCTAATCATTTAAGCTTGATTATGCTGTGTACAGCCCCAGCTCTGATATCCAAGTCAAATATGATTTAATTATAGCCACTCCGCCCAACTGTTACTGGACTTGAATTGAACTGCACTTGCATTTACCTCATCTGTTCTGTGTTTGTGGGGCTGCTGGGTTATCGATGTCTTCTTCAAATCATGCCTGAGCTTGTAGATTTCTTCATCTTCTTTAGCTAGTCTGTCTGTAATACAGCAAAAAAATATTTAACACTGTATCTGGAAGTGCTGTTCAATTACAGAAAGCTTAACAGATTAGCTGCAGAAAGCACATTGTATCCCTCCAGTAGCTTCCTCTAAACCTGCCACAGTCTCCCAGAACAGCAGTGCCATTATACACAGGTTACTAAAAGACTAAACTTTAATAGACATTACAGACTAACAGACAGCCGATATAGATTGTCAGTATGCCGTAAGAAGCATTTACTTATGTAAGTTGGTGTAGGCTTCAGGCTACCATCTATACTTACTGATAAAGAGGTCAAAACTAACCCAGGGAAGCTCTGAGACATAAACACCAGTGCTCCATTGCTATCTCATAGCTGGACATTACTAGCATGACATTGATGGCCTAGAGATAAGTTTCAACTGTAGCTACAATCCACTTACTATGTGCGTCAAAGTATCTGGCTTTATCCTTTTTACCACCAAAAAGAGCAGCAGCTGCTTTTTTGAAGAAATTTTTAGCAGGACTTGACAAATGGAAATCAGGAACGGTGTGACAACAGCTAGCAGAAAGTCTATCCGGTGTAAATCCCTGTGGAAAGGAGATATAAAAGAAGTAAATTTTATACTACAGAGTGCATTTTTAGGGTGGATATTTTTTCAGCCAGAACACTAGACAGTACAAACCTGTAAGAAAAAGTCATGTCGAATTATTTCATCTAAACTGGGACGATCTTCAGGATTTTTTGACAACATGCTAGCTATTAAGTGTTTTGCTGGTGCCAAGAGAGATGAAGGCAGGCTGTATCTTGCTTCTCTTATACATCTGTATGTTTCTTTAAGATTTGTGGTCTCAAACGGGGGTCTTCCCAAGAGCATTGTATACCTGTTTAAAAGCAAAGAAAACCAATTTTATTTATTTTACACATGCACAATACTTATCTACAACTACTGAAAAGCCTCTGTCTCCTTACATGAAGGAGAATTTTACACATGTGTAAAGGGCTGCAAACTGATGCAGTGCTGCATCCCCTTTGAACTCTTAAAAGCCTAAGCCAGTGATAGAAATATTTCACTTCAAAGGCAGTGAAGTACTTACATTACACAGCCTAAGGCCCAGATGTCAGATTCGCAGCCGTGCCCTTGTTTGTTGAGGACTTCTGGAGAGAGGTAATTTGGTGTGCCACATATTGTTCTGCAAGTCAAAGAGGCCACAGAGCCAGTTAGTGTTTCAGACAGTAGAGAAGCTATTTTTCATAGGGCAGGTTTTCCTCTCAGGTTTGGACAAGAACTTAAGAGACTCCTAAGAAAGGAGATGTACGAACATTAATAGTGTAGACATGTTTCATGGTGTCTTCACCATACAGAAACAGGAGACTCGTTTCTACACTATTCATCAGTCAGGTTCCCCTGCCTCTGGCATCTGCTATTATTCAAATGCTCAGAGGAAAGCAGAAGTCAAAACATGACAGCCTGTTTGCTAAAAGGGGAAATCTTGATCCCAGAAGCAATTAGCTTTTGCTATGGAACAGGATTTCTCATTTCTAAATGGATTTGTTTTCATTTACTACTAGACTACATTTTTTGATGCTCCTACCTCCTCCTGTGCTCCAGTGGTTCCAGCCTAGCTGCCAAGCCAAAATCACCCAGTTTTAGTTCCATGTTCTCATTAATGAAGAAGTTACCTAGCAGACAGAGAAATTCCAGTTAGTCTTTTTCTTGCAAGGTAGGAATGCATTTGCCACAGGCGCTGAGTCATACTTCGTTCAAAGACAGAAGCTAGCCAAGATTTTTTTTTTTTAAGTAGGAATGCTTAATGTCATCCCTTAAGCACTCCAGGTTTCCACTGTAAAGACAGACTGAGCTGATTCTATTAAGCTATCACAGTAGAAGTGTGAAGTGGTACAACGCTGACAGAGCTAGCAGAGTCTGTTTTGAAGTTGACAAGGTGCAGAACTTACCTAGTTTAAGATCCCTGTGCAAGATTTCCTGTTCATGAAGATACTTTAGCCCTGACACAATTTGCCTGAGGTAGTATCGTACTTCTGGTTCTGTCAATACCTTCCTTGCTTTTAAGATGTGAGCCATTGACTGCAGAGGGAAAACAAAGGCAGAACTGTCACTGAACATTCACACACAAGATCCACCTTAAGCAAAAGTAAATCAATGCATGGAGAAATACCAGAAACTAAAGAAGCCACAAAAAATACCTTTTACACATCACAAATTTAAATTAGTTGCAGATTCCAGGTAAGTAAATACCGGATTTCTCCCAGCTGATGCTCACCCTTCTACTGCAGTACTCCAGAAGAATGTAAATATTCTCTCTGTCTTCAAAGTAGTGGTAAAACTGGACAACGTGTCTGTGATTAAGCATTCTATGCAGCTCAATCTCTTTATCAATCTAGAGAGAGAAGGGGGGGGGAAGGTGTTGTTAGCCTTGCGTCCACAAGGTTGAGCAGGCAGCTCTATTGGAACCATTTCAGTAAAAGGGCTGGGCAATCCAGCACACAACGAGTTTGAAGAGGAAAAAAAAAAATCATTCATGCACACATACCTTTTCTCTTTGATGAGGTTTTGCTACTCTGCTGTGTGGAATGATTTTTGCAGCATAAACTTTATTTGTTGTCAAGTCTGTCATCTCATAACACTTGGCGAATCCACCCTAGAGACACACGAGAAAAAGGCAATTATAGCAGGTACGAAAGAAGTCCCACACTTAGTCATTCACCAGCTCATGTATTAGTCAAGGAGCGCAACTTCCTTCGCACAGGACAATTCGGTGGAAGACAGGTCTTGGGCTGGTCGCCTATCGGAAGGTTCGCGTTGCGGCTCCCCCCCCCCCGCCCCGCACGCAACATTGAAGTCCCTTCTGCGGGCTTGCCCGAGCCGAAGGCACGATTCCGCTGGTACCCGGAGGCAGCCATGAACCGGGCACAGGAAGGGCGCTTGGACCCACTCCGTCCGGACCGGGGCAGCGCAGGGCCAAACCCCACCCCGGGTAGGTCGGGGGGCGGCAGTGCGGCGCACCCCAGCATCCCCCGAGGAAAGCGGCCCCACGGAGGCAG